AGGCTTTCAGGATGACACTATGAAACTATAATGGCTTGAGAGAGACCTATCAATTTGTTGAAGAAGCTTACCTGTACTCGAAATCAAAGAAATATATTTTAGGTCAAATTTGGCCTAGTTTGATCTTGAAATTTGCAGTTTTAAGTCTGCATAGGATTTTCAAGCAACCTAAAAGTGAAATACATTTATCTTTGGACTAACCTCATAGAGCATGAAAAACACTCCAAAGCTGGTCTTGTTACAAGCATCTTCACTGTGAAATTTTTTCAAGTTAAGGCACAGAAAATACCATAGAAAAATGTACAGATGCCTGGCTACATGCTTTAAAATGAGCCATTAACCAGCTTTCTAGCTTGAGTAGTTTAAGAGATATTGAATTTTTTTAAGGGGTCATTTTTACCATTCCCTCTTTATCTCAAAGTCCATTTGACCGAGAGCTGAAATTTTGAATTCATCAGTTTCTCGTAACTCCCAGTGCACATGATTTTTAACAACAGAATCCCAGTCAGTGCAGAAACCAACATCTCAAAAATTGGACCAATTGACATGGAATGACCCAGGTGGGTTTTTACCCAGTCACTTCCAGGTTTTCTTGACATACTGGGAATGAGCTTCTACTACGCCATTTTTCTGGGAGTGCTTGACCCTTTTTTTTTATACAAGGGGAGTTGCAAAAGTAGTGGCAATTTTTGAATAACAATATACAATAATTTTGGACTATGTTGAAAAGTGACGTGTGCGCCAGTGAGTGGTTTAGCCACATAGTCTAAAACTCTTTCTACTATCACATGAGCCATTACACTTGTCTCTATGCCATAATACATGTGTACATCACCATAGGGCAGATTTGTCACTACTTTTGCACTCCCCCCCTTATCAGTAGTCCCCAATAATATCTATTATTGCATTTACTTCCATGAGCCCTGTACCTTATCTCTTGAAATTATACTACATAAACCATGGAGTAGGGTGTAGTTCACCGCATTAGTTTGAATTTCCCTGGCCCATGGAAAAACACTTTTAATAAGGTTTAAACACATGCAGTTGATGTGCAAGGAATTTTTTCTGATTACATTAGTGCTGAAAACAAGGGCAGGTCTTATGTGCATAAATGCAGTACTCCAACTTTAAATCACAGTGACATACTCCTTATCAGTCCAAATCTTATTATTACAACTATAATCCCATCATTTATTCCCTGGTGAGTAAGGAAAAAGGCATAGATCAGCCCAAGTAGGCATGCAATTAAAAATACCAGAAGAGCATGTGTACAGCACAAATGATGATGAATAACAAGAAATCCTGTTTGACTGAAACCAAAACAACAGTTCAGTCCCAGGTATAGCTAGGATTTCGTTAAGAGAGTAGTTGATACAAACACGGTGAAACTCCAGTCAGACCATAGTCATTAGACTGTGCATTCCACTGCACTGTACATTATTATAAAAACTAAACCTAGATTGCAATTAAAACTGAATTAGAATTCAACTGCAACTGAAACACAGCTTTGAAATCAGTCAATGAATGTGAAAGAGAAAGTTTGAGCTAAAAAATTTCAAGCTCAATCTGACAGCAATGTGCACAACCCTTAGAAATGTTTCTATTCAATTCGTTTAGGAGCTTTGGCAAGAAAACTTGCAGCAACGAAGGCTAGTTTCATATTACTCATAATCATGATAAAATAATGATGAGAAAATGAGAATAAGTATAGCACATGCAGAGTACAAACTAATAATTGAGCATTTTCCTGGGAAGCATCACAGGACACTGTGATTCACTGCAATGCAAATGCAAGCAGTGCCAGTAGTCTGTCCTTTGCCATAAAAAACCTTCTTTATTTTACAAGTATATGACCCCTCAGCTTCAAAGAGCAGAAGCAAGACTCCTCCAAGGCTAATTAATCTCGCAGTCCACAGAGGACATCCTTCTTATGTTGCTCAAACTAATGTGAAATAGGACCTGTGAAATTGATGTGAACCCAAAGGAATGATCTCCGAATACAGGACTACTTTACAACAAATAAACTGGTCTGGACACAACCCAAAATATCTAGTTTAGAAATATATTTCAAGCAACAAAAATTAAGGGGCTTTCCCTCCCTTTGCGAAGAGATTATGCTGAGAAAAGAAGAGGTGTTCAACAAGTAAGCAATGATTCATTGACCTGAGTCACAGAAACAATGGACACTATCAACATGTGCATAGATGAGTTCATATGGCAAGTGATTATGAAAGCCTGAAAGATTAGTGAAAATATGAAAGTCAGATGATCATCTCTCTGTGAGCAAGAATATCTTAAAACAACCATTGAAGAAATTGATAGTTCTTCCAGGTATACTGACCAACCACATACTGCTTACTTTTCAAATGGTCCCAAGTTTCCCAAAGCTATAAAAAGTTATAAGACAATAATGCAACAAATTAGACCACATTTACTAATCACAGCAGCCAGCTAATAGCAATCAATTGGATAGAATCAAGAGACATAAAACATATGTAGCATTAAAAAATTACTGAATGACTGATTATACAGTTTTTCGCCTCCACCTTCATGTGACTAATAGAAATCCACTATTGAATAAAAGTAATAAATGGCAACAATAACAGGCATATAAAATTACAATCACATGCTGTATCTCTTAAGAAGAGAAATGTTCTCTTCATCTCTCCTGTTTAAGTCAATGGTTAATGCAACAATTGCAAAGAAACAACACATTTCAAGTATCACAGAACCATCATCACAGCATTTCCACATTTCAACCCTGATTATCCTATATAGCACTCTCATAAGCAACATGTATTTGAAAGGATACTCCAATCTGATAAGAGTGAAGCTGAAAACAAGGATTGGAATGAAAAATGTAATGTCTGTTGCAGTCATCTGATCTTTGGTTATATAAAATTTCCGTCTGATTTTGGTTGAGTGATGACATCAATCCTATATCATCAGCTGCTAAAAAGAACTCTCCTGCAGTTCTGTGTAATTCTGCCTTGGTTGTTAAATTGAAGTGTTCACACTAACACAAAATTCCATGTTATATACACATTAAAAGAGGTGATAAAAAATTACCATGCCAGTGCATCAAGACATTGGAAAACATTTCACTGCAAGAGTCATACTTGTATTCCCTCTTGAAAGGGTTTGGAGGTAATTTATGAGGGAGGGGAGGGGTTGGAGAGAAACAGTCTCACGAACCACCTTCAAAATATAAGCCAACACTATTTTCAAGATATGATCACCAGGTATCAGAAATTAGGGAAGGGAATAAGGCATTCCTTCATATTCCCATCATGGTCAGGTCAGAAAGAAAGAATATACCCATGGAAAACTGCCTATTAACAAATTCAGTCCAGCAATTGGAAATCTCCTATATACAGCTCCCACATCTACTGCCCAGATTTGGAAATCTCTAATATGACACGTCATCATTCAACTGTTTTAAAGTGGATTAAAATACTAAAGGAATCAGTGAACATTTCAGAACATTTTGGTGCAGGCAACAAATTTTGAGTAGCTAATTAGTAATTCATCACAGTGGTTGTATTAGTAAGACTTTATCCAGGAATGAATGTGTCACCCAAAAGAATGGTAAAGGATGCAGGAACACAAAGATTGCCTTGCTGACAATTGGCTGATGGAACATCTTCATTCTATGAACCTTTCCCACTCCTCCCTTTGACCAACCAGAGCCTCCAGTCAATATTTAGATTTGCTGAACTATGAAAATTCTCCTTGATGTTTTCATTGCACGTGTTAACAATTAAGTGAAAGCTATACACAGGAGAGCTATACATGGTACAATCTTGTATTCACTGGGCTGTTCAACTGCTCTGACATCCTGTATACACATGCTAACAGAATAACCTTAGCCTCACAGGAAAAAAAGGTGAAATAGGTTTTGGCAGAGTAACTCACTGGTCTTCATTTCTGCAAGTAAAAAAATTTATAACCCTGTGCACCATTATAAAAAAAAGTGAAAGTCTGGCACATGGAACAGCACTGCATATGGTTTCTGCCTTGCCACCTCTCATATTGTTCCATTTCTTGATCATCACAAGTTTCAAGCAATTTCAATCTCCAAGGTTTATTGGGGGACTGTTCAAACACTACGATATTTGACCTTCCTTTTATTGACCATGTTTCATTAAATTCTTCCAATTATTGGCAATTGCATTCATTCATATAGGATACTATAATCAACTCAATTAGAAAGACAAAATTAGGGCAAGAGTGCAATTTACTATATATTCCTTCTTCCTCTATTGAATCCAATGCAGTTTGAATAAGGCAATGAATATAAACCAAATAGGAAAGGCCTCTTTCACTTTTTCAAACCTATCACTAATAAAATAGCCATAGAAACTCTGCAAAAGGCATGAAGAAATGAAAAACTTTGTAGGGGTATGACCTTTTTCTACTGAAAAAACCCATTCCTTGTCTCAAGTTCTGTAATTCATAGGAAACTCATGCAAACACACTAGGATGTATCCCTGTCATATTTACACAGTATGAAAAATCCAAGAATTGTTAACTGCTTTTGCTTCTATTACATAAGAAATGATGTCACAAGAAAATGATCCTCCTGTAATACATAAAAGGTTGAAGTCATTTTGTCAGCAAAAAGCTGACTGTAAAGCGGACTGGAGTCTGCAGATTGGAGTCTGAAGAAAGCAGATACCAATATCTCTATAAGCATCTTTGTCCTTTGCATAATATAGGATGTGATTCAAGATGAAGACACCTGGAGAGCTTCATAATGACTTCGAACTGCTACCATGTTCTGCTTCAAGACATACCTACAACATAAAATACAAAAGCATCATCTGTTCAGTGTCAGACATCTAAGAGCCCTTTAACAGTTTCTTTTTTCGTACTTTAACCCTTTTGCTCATGAAGTACACAATTGAGACATATAATTTCAGGAGGCATTTAGAGCAGCTAAAAGCCATTGCATTGGTTAACTCATCTAACATGTAAAGGTGGGCAATGAGGTGATTTACCCAGATATAGTTGACCGTCAGGGAGGGTCACCAGGAACCTAAAGCCCTGAGTATCAACTATACGACTCCCAACAACAATGTGAGTACTGTAGCAGAGATCCTATATTTAAAAATATAGGATATTCAACAAATCTTAATAATAAATATTAACGTATCTAAAAAATCATTCTGGGGCCAAAAATAAGCAGTGGGAATTTACAGAACAAGAAATCAAATATCAATTCCATAATTGGGTTAGACTTCTTTTGACGTCTGACCTCCCATAGGTTAAAATAAAATGCATTTGGGGAAAAACTTCCCAGCAAAGGGGTTAATGGAATTGTTTCATGGTTGTCTGCTTTTGGACATCCAGCAAATTTGTCAAATTTGAAATCTCACCAGCTTCTGACCAAAGGCTAATTGGATCAGGTCAACTTGATTCTATATCTAGTATTATTATTAGGATGGGTTTTGTGAGTTCTCTTTTGCTTCCTAACATTGGGGAAAAATGCATCAAGTAATACATCTTGAAATTGACTCAATAGTTGGCTTATTTTTCCAGGAATGTCCAGATTTATTACTGCAAACTAGAGAACTTTGGAAGTGAGAAAGCACATCTACAAGAGAAACAACAAACAATAGCAAAAGCATCAGTCTATCAGATTAGAAAAGGGGGTGGGAATGAAAAGAAATGGAAACTCCATGCTCTGTCTAACAAGAGCCAATGGATGTAGAAATAGAGCTGAAAATCTCATACTTGCATCTGGAATAGTTTCCCTGGTCTTCTTACAACCTAATACATAAATGTCTAAACTTTACAGGACAAGAAGTTCCATAGCCAGAGGGAGAATTCCTCCTGAATTTTGTCACTGTGCCTATTCCTTATGGTCAAAAGCCCGTGGTTCCTTTCTCAGCAGATGGACTCTTTTCCAATTAGAGAAATAATGAGAAAGCAGCTGAAAACAGACAAAAAAAAAGGCTTAAAACATTAATGATATTGCATGTCTTTACTTGTGAAAAGAGTTTCACAGTACTTACCTTTCCTATATTCTTGCACAAGTAGTTTGCTGAATCTAAAACAGAATTTAACCCTTTCATGTATATTTTGCAGAGATATATAGGTATGCAAGATCTTGAGGCCTAGTGAGACTTCTGTGTCCTAGTGACCTCTTTTGGAATTTTCATTTTTGTGGTTAACACATTTGCTGCTGTTCATGCCATATGACGTGTTCAGAGTTCTGACCTGATACACCAAACATGCCATATGGCATGTTGGTGCAAGTCAGGGTGTAGTGTAACTTAACTGGCAGAGATGGCAGCAGAGGCTAAAATGACCTACCGAAATGTGTTGTGTGACCATTTAGTGATATTTGTGAAAAGTTTTCAGGGGTTCCTATCAATGATCCCATCACTCAAGAGGGTAGCAACCTGAAGAGGCACAAGCTGGTGAAACTCCAGGGGAACCATCAAAGGAGAGCCTGCAAAGTGTGTGCAAGTATCGAAATTCGAAGTTCCACAACATTTGTTTGTTCTTCTTGTAGAGTTCCACTTCACACAGTGGAATACTGCACAAATTATCATACTAAAAAGTTTTGAAAGTACCTTTCAAATTTTGAATTTTTAACTTGAACTGTTCCTGAGAAGTAAATGGTTGTCAGTAACAGCACAATTTTCTCAACAGCACGAAAATGCTTGACAAGGACAAGTTGAGTGGGCCTTCAAATGCTCAGTAGTGAATGCGTTAATGATGCTTCAATGTGGACAGCTGAATAGGGAAATGTGTTTTTACATCATTTATATTTTAAAATTCAGGACTAAAAGGAGTCCAGAATGACTGACTGCAACTGATAGCTGTTTTGAAGCACAGGTCCCCAAGGGATGAAATGGCATCTTCAACAGCAGCAATCAAGATGCCCTAACCCTTTCAGACCAGAATTAAGGCCTCTATCAGAGTAATATCCTTTTGTGCATTTTTGAGCTTTTTCGTGATTGTAATTGAAACTTTCATGCTTTATATGTAGTTTTCATAATTTGTATAAATTTCCCATATCATACCATATATTATATATTTAAAATTTAATAAAATAACTGAAGAAAACAAAACTAATGGGTGAAAGAAGGCCAGTGATAGAAATGAGCCATGCATAATTACGCCCATTGTAGCATAATATGGAGCACAAAGTCACGAGAATCCTAAGAAATTGCCAATGTAAAGGTAATGTCCATTGGAATGGATGCCAGGTCTGAAAGGGTTAAATTATTGCAAAAGAGGTAGTAACATTTCGCCCTTGATGCCAAGCAGATAAGGAAGCACTTCTTAGCAGGGAGCAGTCTATAAGCTATCATTTTTTATAAGCTATCATGTCTTTATATCATTCTCATTTGCAAACAACAAAATAACGAGATTTAATTGAACTTCACGACTCCTTACAGAAGCAGAATTTGTCATTGACCATCCAACAACCATATAGGGCACAATTGCATCTTACAGCACTTCTACTGGAATCAAGTTTCTGTCTGTTCCCTGCAACATAGGGGCAGCAAATGTAAGAAAGAGACTCACTACATTAAGTTTGTCAAAATCAGAAGGTAAACATGTGACTCTCACATCTACTTTTAGCTGGAATGACTGAGATGATGCAAAAATCTCATTGGATAAATAAATAAGTTAGTCCAACAAGAACTCTGAATAATATGGGGTTAACAAGTCAGTATTTGGCTTTCCTCTCCATTGACAAGGCCAGGAATGTTAGGAAATGGGATTCTCAATGTGTTTGTCTAAGAGCCTAATTGAATATCACCACAATGAAACAATTAAACCAAAATACTGAAGAGTTTGTTCCACAAAGTGATCAGACCAGGGCAAGCAATCTCAAAGAGAGACATCTATTTTACTATGGTCATTTAACAGGAAAATAGGAAAATAACGTATTTGTCTTTGACTCCTCCACATGCACCATGTCTCAGCATACCTGAATATCTGTGTAACCATGGACGTAGGAAGCAAAGGCAACTTGTAGTTCATGTCCATCATCCAATGTAATTGACAGTTATCTCTCCCACCTTCCACTGATTTTACTGCACATAGACAGCATGGCCCACAATGACCTCTGAAAATCATAAATGAAAATGGCTCATTGGCATGGAAAGAAGATTAGGTGACAATGTTTTCATTCAGTTAATGAATGGAGGAGCAATTATTAATTATCCAGCAATCCTCCACAATAAGTAATTTATGCAATATACAGGATGGGCCAAAGGTCAGGACACACTTGAAAATTTTTAAATGATATTTTGCTTTATTCATCATTCATTTCAGATAAGCCAGGAATTTTACATTTATGTAAGCTATTTATACATTCATAATCATATTTAATTTAATATTTAATAATATTAATTTATATATAATTACATTTATAATAATTAATAAACTAAATAAAACAAAATATCATAAAATTTCAATTGTGTCATGACTTTTGGCCCACCCTGTATTTTAAGACATTATTTTCCTCTATACCATATTTTCCCTGTATTTTAAGACATTATTTTCCTCTATACCATATTTTCAAGTATGAATAGATCCATACTTGACAATTCCTTTCATTTATTTATGAGGGGTACCCAAAAAGTAACACCTCCTATTTTGTCTACTGCAAAGTATTGGTGGCACAAGCTTAGAAATGCACATGCTGTACTTCAAAACGTCCTCACATTTCTTTGCAAAGTTTCTTGATTCCTACTGAATAATACTTTGGCAGTTCAAATCAATGGAATGTCATGATGTCCATCACAGAAAGCATAGATCAAAGTCCTTACAAGCAATGGAGTACCATCAACAGATATTCATCTCCATGTGAAGGTTTTACATGTTTTGATGTGAGTGCAGCACATTGCTCATCTAATTGCACAAAAAAGTGGCTAGGTGATATTTGGGATCAGTTTGTTGTCTCCAGGCAAACCTGTTGATGGGCAACTACTATGTGAATGATGTCTAATGTCACATTCTCCACTGTTCACATATTTCACATGATGACACCCAGCACAAACATCAACACATGTATGAACATGAAAAAAAAACCTTCACGAAACAACAGATGTCTATTGGTGGTGTTACTTCACTTGTAATGCATTCTGCTCATCATGGATGTCATGAAAACTTCTCTTTTTTGAATCACTACAGTGGCAGGGCACCCTTGGGAGGAATAAAAAAAAACATTACAAGGAATAGGAGGCCATTGCAAACTATTTACATGTGCCTATGCCATCAACATTTTGTAACAAACAAAATAAAGAGCCATTACTTTTGAGGTGCTCCTTGTACTATTATAACCAAAGAACAGGTACATACTTTCAAGAGTGAATGGATCCATACCTCACAATGCCTTTCACAGGTGGGAAGAGGTCAAGACTGATGGATTTGTAGGATGACATCACAAAGTCATCCCCATACTTTTTCACCAAAGACAAATTGACAAAATCTCTACTTGCAATGAAACCTGCAGCACCTTCTTGTGTCACTTGATAGAAAATTCCACACTCTTCTCTCTCATCTAGTTTCTGGGAAACAGTGTAAAAATATCATTAGTCCATAGAAGAAACAAACATGCAAATTTACAATACATTAATAACCATCAGATTTACTTTGCCCTTCATGCAAACAAACAAATTCATTAGCATAACATAAAACTAGATAGGATAGTCATGAGAGTATAACATGCTCTGTCTATGAACTTATGACGCAAAAAAACAGGGTATTGGCTCATCGCATACTCCACTGAACTTGAGATGTAAGCCAACAACTTCTAACTTGTAAAAGTCCCAATCATACCCACAGATTCATTCCATACATTACACATATCATACCCCTACATATAAGGTGGTTCAATACTTACCTGCACCTTCCATTTTAGAAAATCAATAGGGTAGAAAAGAGCCTAAATTCCTAATATGACAGATAGCCCCAATCCTCAATGTGATTTATGCCAAGACCAGAAACCCTTGCGCATGCACAATTGAGTTTGAAGAACATGGTGGCTGATGGTATATCCTCTGGGGTTAAACAGCATTGTTTAAACCCACAAGTGCTGAGTTTTGACTCAACCTCCCAAGTGATGAACATACGGTGTACGTGAAAATGGCTTGAAGGGTTAATAACATTTCACGTGAAGGAGAAAGTGAAGGAGGCTGATACTTTCTGAAGCTTACAAGCACAGTTCAGGGAAGACTGCCTGGAGAGAAGTGTACGAGGTGCAGTCAGAAAGTTCATACTGTCAAGCCATATCTCATTTACAGTCAGGAGTTCTGAATAGAAACTGTGGTCACTTCTTAACATAATCACCTGCTTTACCTAAACACAGTTTCCACCTTCATTGCCAGTCACTGAAGAACTTGGCAAATGCTTGCTCAAGTGTATGTTTAAACCACTGGTAAGCTGCAGTACCACGGGCTTTTCAGGAGTCATACATCTTACTCTGTAACAAATCCTCGAGTTCTGAGGACACCCAAAAGTCGTTGGGTGCCAGGTCCGGTGAGTATGGGGGATGGGGCAAGGCCTCGATACCATTTTATTTAAAAAATCTCCCTTACAACACCTGCCTTGTGGGGTGGTGCATTGTCCAGGTGAAGAATGAACCAGTCATTGGCCTTCAATGGATGCAATCTTTTTTACTGCTGGTTAAAACTCAGTTTGTAACATGTTTGTAGTAGGTTCTACTATTGGTTGCACCTTTAGGAACTACGTGAGGTAGAACTAAACCCTGTTTGTCCAGAAAAATAGCATAATGAACTTTCTCATTGGAAGGGGCCTGATGGATCATGCACATTTGATCACAGTTCTTTGTTCTTCCTCTGCGAACTCCATTGCTCAGGGACAGTAGGGGAAACTCTGTGTCAAAAAACCTATGCTGCACACAAACAGCAATAACAACAACATTCACAATGTGCTGTCTGACTCACAACCGATCATAATACCTTGTCCAACTGTAATTTATTCCAACTAATTCCAGAAACGTATGCCAGAAGCGAGCGGAACGGACTTTCTGACTGCACCTCGTATTTGATAGTGCAAGAAATTTCAAGACAGCCAAGTATCCTTGACAATTCCATCTACCCCTTAGACTGTTGTGACTCCTGTGAACATCCAGCAAATTTCACAATTTATTCTGGAGAATTACCCCATTACCATGCAAGATTTTGCAGCAGAACTAATTATTCAAGATTGGGAGCATCAAGATCAAGATTGGGAGCATCGAAAACATTATCTACACTCACTTTAAGTTCAAAGAGGTTATTGCGAGATGGGTGCCAAGAGAACATACTGCCACGTCGGACCATCTCAACCGCTATGACAGATAAAGGCAACATCCTCAACAGCATTTTGACAAGGGATGAAACATGGATTCATCACTTAATGCCAATATGAAAAAGCTCTAGCATGCAATAGTGACATTCTGCATCGCCTCGGTCGAAGAAATTCAGGGCAATGATAAAGTGGTGAAGTGCCTGCACACTCGACTACAAGCATTCAAATGCCTCTGGCATTCAGACACTGTCAAAGCGATGTGACGAGTACGTCCATGTGGGAGGGGAATACCTCGAGAAGGAGGCGTAGTTTCATAAAAATCAGATGTACCATAGATTTTCTGGAATGAAAAGTGCAGTTAACCTGTTCGCAGGCATGGGCCCATATATGGGTTTTAAAATTTAGCGTGCTTCGAAACATACCAAACGCAAAAGCACTTCTGACGGTACCAGTAAGTCGAAAATTTGTGTACATGCTTATATATATTATATATAAAGTGTCTACATCACATACATGAAGAACATGAACAAAAATACTCTGAAGGAGCATGTTTTCTGAAGGTGTTGAAAAGTGTGAAAAAACTGGCCCTTGAAAGGGTTAAGTATTGAACCACCCTCGTAGATCTCCATATTAGAAAATTTTAACATATGCACACCAAGCCATTCCAAATCTTCAATAATACTGGATTCATTCATAAAAAACTTGACTTGGAGAGCATGAGAAAATTATGGAGAGTGCCAATATAGCATAAAGCTTTAAATAATGGCACCAAAAATGTCAGTCTGTCACCAGATAAAGCCAGGAAGCCAGGTATCTATGATTTGCTTGCTCCCAGGGGTGTATGGCACCTAGCAACCACATAGTTGCCAGGCATAAGGACCGGACTGTTGGATATCTGCTGCAAACTGTTTAACCTCTGGGATTTGCTGCCTATGTATTCTAAAAAATTTTATTGGTATGTAGCATATCTGCTATGTCATGCATTAAAGCAGTGATGAGCAACCCACAGCCCGTGAGGTCCTGATGTGCGGCCCGCGGGGCTTTGCTGACTGAATTTGAATTTTTTTTCTCATCATCTGCCATCCGGTGCACGTGCACTCAAGGATTCAGTTGCCCACTGCAGGAGAAACGGAAGCAAGAAATAAAACATAAAAGCTATATTTCTGCTGCAGCTGCAAATATCCCTTCACTCTTCTCAGTCAGTGTATCACTGCTCTCTGAGGAAGTGGCTTGCTTGGTATTTTGTGACCTATGTAAAAATTTCCCCCCTTCACAGCTAAGGTAGGGACAGACATTTAGAGTGAACAGATAGTTTCGTGTGCATACTTAGGAAGGTTTTCATCTTTCAGTTTCCTCTTTTTTTATTCTGTGCCATTTTTAGGAGTAGCAGGTCCTAAACCTCAGGCATGGCTTCAGGAAAAAAAGGCACAAAGTTGGAGATGAATGCCGCAATTTCAACGATAGGTGGACCACAGAGTATTTCTTTGCCAGCGTTAAAGGAGCAGCAGTATGCCTAATTTGCAATGAATCTGTGGCTGTTCTTAAAGAATATAATGTTAAAAGACATTATGAAGCAAAGCATGCCTCAAGATACGACACTCTCCAGGGCCAGATGCAGAAAGACAAAGACTAGGTGCACAAATTTGAAAAACGTCTGGCAAGCCAATAAAATCTTTTCAAGAAAGCTACTTCTGAGGCAGACATTTCGGTACATGCTAGCTACTTGATATCCAAAATCCTGGCAAAGCGCATGAAGGCATTTAGTGATGGCGAGATGGTGAAGGAATGCCTGCAAGCTGTGGCTGGTGTTGCATTTCCTGAGAAGAAGGCTATTATTTCAAAAATAAGCCTGTCAAGGTTTACTGTGGGCAGGAGGGTGGATGATATGTCAAAGAACATTGAAGATACCCTGAAATGCAGGGCTGTAACTTTTAAGTGGTTTTCTCTGGCACTGGATGAGAGCACTGATGTGACTGATGCAGCTCAACTGGTTGTGTTCGTTCGAGGCATTGATGCTGAATTTAGCATAACAGAGGAGCTGGCAAGTATGGTGGCAAAGATGGGCACAACAACTAGGGCAGATTTGTATGAAGAGCTGAAGAAAGTGCTGAAGCAATTGGGACTGTCAATGGAAATATTGAGTGGGATTGCAACCGATGGAGCCCCATCAATGGTTGGCAAGAACAGTGGCTTGACAACTCTCATATCCCAAGAAGCTAAGGCTCTGACTGGTCATGATTTGATTGCATGTCACTGTTTGCTGCATCAAGAGCACTTGCGTACAAAATCTTTGAGGATGGCAAATGTTGTTGCAGTCATTGTGAAGCTGATTAATTTCATCAGATCTAAGGGGCTGAATCAATTCAGAGAGTTACTTAGTGATTTGGAGTCTGATTATGGAGACGTGCATTATTATACTGAAGTGCAATGGCTAAGCCGTGGCAAGATGCTCAAGCGAGTTTATGATTTGAAGGAAGAAATTGAGCTCTTTTTAGATATGAAGGGGAAGCCAGTGAAGGAATTTGGTGATCATGACTGGATGTGCGATTTTGCTTTTTTGATCAACATTACCCAGCACCTCAATGAACTCAACACGAGACTCCAAGGAAAAGATCAGCTCATCCACGCAATGTTTGACCAAATCAAGGCGTTTGAATCAAAGTTGTCCTGTGGGAATCACAACTTCACTCCAATAACCTTGTGCATTTTGAAACATTGAGGAAGGAGAACCCAGATGCTTCTGTGAAATATGCTGAAGAAATTCAGCACCTGAAAGATGAATTTCAGTCCCATTTTCAAGATTTCAGAAGATGTGAGGATGCCTTCAATATCTTTTCCATTCCTTTCAATGTCAGTGTTGACACTGCACCTCCAGAGCTTCAAATGGAGCTTATTGATCTTCAGTGCAGTGATGAACTGAAAGCAAAATTCCGTGATGTACCGCTTCTTGACTTTTATAAACTCTACTTGCCAGCAAGGAGTTTTCCAGAACTATCACACCATGCTTTGAAGATGGCAAGCTTGTTCAGCAGCACCTACAAATGTGAACAATTCTTGTCAAAAATGAATTTTCTGAAGAGCAAGCATCGAAATTGGCTGGGTGACGAGCGAGTGGAAAGTTCCCTGCGCATCGCAACGTCTCGCACTGAGCCAGACATAGAATAACTTGTGAAAGAAAAAGAGTGCCAAAATGTCGAATTAAACATGATATTTGTGATCTTCGTGGGCATTCAAATAAAAAAATTTGCTATCTTAGCACCTGGTTTACTAAGCCATGCTTTCGATTATGTTGGTATTGGTGCTCAGCAGGCATGAAGCCTGTAATTCACTATTTAAAAAAAATACTTGCGGCCTGCCAGGAAGCTGAAAGGTTTGCTTGCAGCCCACAGGCAAAAAAGGTTGCTCATCACTGCATTAAAGGGTTAAAAACAATACACAATTTAAATAACAGAAAAATATGTAAAACCAATGAAACTGCAAGAATTCTTCCCCAATCTCTATCACTTGTCAATCAGCACTCATTAACTTACCTTTACGCCCAACAGGAAAAGAAAGGAGCCAGACTTACATACAAGACTTTAAAATCCTTTAGAGTATCATTCCAAGAAAGAGTGTCCTCCATGGATGAAACAAGAAATCTGTCATACAGCAGTTCCAATGATGCTTTGATGGGTGTCTGAAAAAATAAAAGAACTCAATAACCAGACATATTCTAGTTTACCTGGCTTCAAAAAATTTAAAATATAAACACACTTGTTGCTTTAACCCTTTCAGCATCCAACCAAATCATTATCTCGCAGGCAAGCACGTAGGCGCATCCCAAGTGTGTACTCGGGATGATGCCGAAAGGGTTAACACCAAGAATGAGGCATGGAGTCATGGAGCACCTTCAGAAAGGGGTCAAAAAAGTCCCCACAACCCCTTCAAAGAAAGCTGCCACTTCTGCATAGGGAATTTCATTGCCTTCTCTTTCACATATGTGAGGGACTAGACCACCAACTTATGTTAAGTACAATCCATGGATAGCTTTGGTTTATACAATCAATTTATAATATCTTAACCCTTCCAGATCTGAATTAAGGTCACTATTGGAATAACATACTTTTAGGAATTTTTTAATTAGCTTTTTTCCTATTCTACTTTAAATTTGTATGTTCTATATATCATTTTTATAGATATTTTAAAATATAAATTTACCATACATTAAATATTATACATGTAATTACATAATTGAAGATCTAAAAACTGAGGGGTGAGAGAAGGCCTCCGATGGAATTTAGCTATGCATAATTGCACCCATTGTAATGTAATGTGGGCCACAAAGTCACAAGAATACCAAAAAAATTCTCATAGGCACAATGAAAATACAATGTCCATTGGAATGGACGTGGGGTCTGAAAGGTTAAACATTAATGTAGTCTGGTGAAGTGCTGACAACTACATGATGCAATAGCCATACATCAGCAGGGATCAGCATAAAGGATCAGCTTTGTTGTGCAATGCTAATTTTTTTGTTAACTACCAATTCTTCAAAGAAAATAAATTTAATTTCTGATCCCAGACACAAAACATTCCTCATTTCAAGTTCTCCAAAAGCATAATTATTTAGAAAGAAACCTAACTCACACCAGCAAGTAGTCATAATGGCAGTTTTGAAAGTGTTCATACATCAACATGAATTAGGGCACATCAGTAAATATGTAGTCACTAATGGTGTTAATAACAAGGGTAAAAACTGCCTAAAAATGAGAATGTCAGACTGGTTTGGAGACCTATACAATCTGCAATCTATTCTGCTTGGTGATCTCAAGCAAGAAGGGGTCTTAAGCCAGGATGGTAAATGTGAAGAAAAAATGTATCACCTTTAATTGTATTATCAAAAGTGTCCTTCCCTTTTTTTCTTTCTCACTCTTGCTATCAAGTTTACTGGGCTCTGCAGAGGTACCACATTATTTACATTACTTGTGGGCCTGCAAATTTTATTCTAGTATTTTCTGCCCAAGTCTGCTAATGCATTGTGATGCCTGAAAAAACTGTCTACATCAGCCATACATCAAGCTATCATTGTATTAAGCCAGTTCTATTATTTATTGTCCCATACCACCATAGGTAACAAAGAGTGGCATATGCTCAGGATCAAACCTTGGCTAATTTGCCCTCAACTTGGGATATCTCTAATCCCTCAAACTTGCAACTTAATACTACCATAACTCAGTGAAGCATATCAATAAAGTCGTGTTAACTAAGCAAACAATTCCTTGATGACAAGCCCAGTCACTTCACGGAGTAAAGTCAAAAATCCAAATCGGCTGAAAGCACTAATACACAAAGGGAACAGTGGCACAAACACCTTTGTGTCTGGATTTTTCATCAGTAGGCAAGAGCTGCTAGTAAATTCAACACCTAACTTGATACATGTATATTTTACATGGTCACTCAACTTCATAACAGCAGCTAAACATTACACATCACCTCTAATCATCATTTTCTTCATCAGCCATTACTTTGATAAACCCTTTTCTTGGTTAAACATCATTCAATAGGTGTGTATACTTCTTTACAAAAACAAAGCATGGTAATCAATGGTGTTCTATGATGTATCAATTAGGTAACTTTCTGAGAAGAGAACATTTTTTCAGGAATGGGTTGCATCCAAGGAACCACTAGTGATTGGTAGGGCCTTTTGTGACTTTGCAGACAAGCTGTGGGAATAAAATAGGAATGGCTTACATGTGATACAAAATATGTTGGTACCCAAGGAAGCCAATTCATGTTGAATGCATTATATATACAGGGTCTTGCATAACCTTTTGCTAGGGGGGAACAACCTCATGTACAAATATCAGGTTGTAAAGGTGAAATTTAGACATTTCGATTTTTTCTAGAAAAATCTGAAAAATGTTAGAACTTTCTATGTAGGTGTATAAGTAGAGTGACCAGTGGGCATTGTGGGCGTGAGTGCTTATCGTGAACCTACAACAGATACATTGATGCAAGACTGCACTCTTGTCGTTGTTGAGTTAATTGTCAATAAATTGTTTTCTGGAAAATGTCTAAATTTCACCTTTACAACCTGATAGAACAATTGTAAGTTATATATCAATTGAAACCTTTATTCAACCTGAATACAGTAATGCATCAGTATTTTGGGTGACCACCATTGGCTTCATGTACAGCCCTCATATATTGAGGGCATAATTTCAACAAATTTTCAAAAAGTTATGTTTCATTTTCCATTTCATGAACATTTTGGAAGTTTTGAAGGGTTACTGCTTCAGAATTTCGGTCATAACCAAGCTCACTAATCATCATACTTTCTATTTTTTCCTTAAAGCCTTCATCCATTTCTTGATATGGTATCATCGTCTGATTAGCTTTCAACACCACTTGGAAATTATTTTTGCAACTCGATTGCAGCTTTTTTCTTCGTTTTTTCCACTGTTCTCCATCGTAATGTTTTTGCTCACATCAGACAATTTTTTGGGCTAGCTGTCATCAATATACGTAAAACAAGATTCGTATCCTTCGTTCCAGTTGTCTGTGTCAATCTCTCACTGCAATTCAATGGTGAGATATTCACTTTCAATTGATGAACATTGTGCCTGCTTTCCTTGCTTCTTGATAGGTGCACACTTGAATGCTGTCTATCACACATTGCCTTTCGTCAACACCAACCACCTCAGCAATTATAATTTTTAATGCCAAATATGAGATGAGAATTAAATTAGCTTTTAAAACATGCATAACACTTATATTTTTTATGCTCCATATTTGCTGTACCCCCCTAGCAAAAGGTTATGCAAGACCCTGTACAGGGTGGTCCACAATTGTCTCCCCAAAAGTAAAAGCTTATTACTCAGGAAGTATACATTCAATTTCAATTATATATAAATCAAAAGATAGCCAATTCAATATAACTTTATTGTGGAAAATTTCAGCATTCCATAAGAAATTAGAACAAATTACACAATAACAAATGAAAGTACCCACATCGTGCAATTAAAGTCCGTAAATATACTTCAGGAATTTCATAATTCCATTTTGAGTTTTTCATTCATTGCAAGAGATCGTCTGTGTCATGGGTGACTGGTATCCTGCAGAAGACGAATACTGCCATTTGGTTAGATAATTGAAGAGATCAAATTTGTATGGAGAAAATATGGAAATTTCTTCAGTTTGGGTTCAAATGTCTCAGTTCCTGATGAGAAGATCATGAAGGCAATTCATAAGGGGTTTCTGAACATGAAGAGATCCATCAGCAGACAACCTAGATATGCTGAAACAGGCCATTAGAGATGCCTTAGCCATAGAAAGGCCAGAGATGATTGAATTCTGCTGGCATTCAAAGAGAGACTATACCAAGTCACTGACAATTGTGGAAGTTATATTGAACATTAGTGATTTGGCGGCTTTCATTTGTAAGGATATAACTTTGTTCTAGTTTTTTTTTTTTGGAATGCTGAAATTTTCCACAATAAAATATATTGAATTGGCTATTGTTTGAGTCATATATCATTGAAATCAAAAGCAGACTTTCTGAGTACGTGTATTAAGCTTTTACTTTTGGGGCGACAATTGTGGACCACCCTGTATATAGATGAGCATGACTGACTGACTAACTGGCTGATGCAAATTCTAACCATGTTCTAGAGAGGTGAGAAATCTGAAACTTGGTACACAAGTAGCTATTGGGAGGCAGGGTTTGGAAAAAATCTGACTTTGCAGGCATATGTCCTTGGGGCGTATTTATGCAGGGGGATGTTTTAAAAGAATTTATTTTACTTGAGTGAAGTGCAATAATGTAGAAAGTTGAAAATGGACATGAAAGTGCCTATTGAAGTGTTGCTTCTCAGGAAAATGTCAAATTTCAGATATATGTCCTCGGGGCACATTTATTCAGGGAGCCATTTTATATTTGATTTATTTTTGTTTCCAAGGAAGAGACATGGAAAGCTGAAAATGAGTATGAACATGCCTAATGATATGGTAGCTACTAAGGTGTGGAGCTCAGGACAAATCCAACTTTGTAGGTACAAGCTTCCCTCACTTTACGTGGTTTTTGTTTTACACAGATTCGCACTTGCACTATTTGTTTTTACCACCAAAATTTCAGAAGCACGGGGTGTGGTTCTAAGATACACAGTTTAAGTTTATTGAATTTTTGGTACAAAAAAAAACATGAAAGTGTAAATTTGTGTAAAAAAATTTTTTAAATGTGTAAAGCGAGGGAAGCCTGTACATGCTCTCAGGGCGTATTTATTCAGAGAGATGTTGAAAAATAATTTCTTTTTGTTCCTGCCAATTGGAAAGATGTAGAAAGTGGATATTGAAATATTGATTTTCAGGAAAATTGGGGGCACATTTTTTCGAGACGTTTTATATAATTTTTTTCTTTTCTGTCAAAGGGTGAGACATGGAAGCTGAAAATGACTATAAACGTGGAGTTTGTGAAATGCTGATCTAAGGTACCTTTGGCCTACAAGGGTTCAAATATTGATATCTCTTACTCATTTTCACATTGGATTGTTCAAAAGTAACAACATGTAATCAACATGAGTTTTCGACAAAATGCACCTTGAGATAAAGGCTGCCTTAGCCTTTATCTCAAGCTGCAAGGTAACATATATGAAAAACTAATTATACTCAGCACTTGGATGGCTTCAATTGATTTTTTTTCCTTTTTGAAACCAAATATTTTTTCCCCTTTTCCTTAACTACTGCACTACTCATTCAATAAGTCTTTTTTTTTTTAAAGGAGAAGAAAGGTGTTTTTTGCTTCCTGGATCATGGCATCAATAGTACCTGCCGTGAAATGACCAATATTTCATGTAAACATATCTATAAAACATTTGCACATAATTTATGTTTGTACTCGTATGTTTCCTGACATGATTTCACTCGTCAAATCATCGCCTTAAACCAAGTGACTATTTTCAACTCTTTAGGGGCAACTACGCAGGTAACTACGCAGCTACCACATGAATCAAGATTTAAAAATTCATTCTATGCCAAGTGCACAGACACCAATAGCCCTAAAACTAGTCTTCAAGAGTGACCAGACACAATTACTTACAGAAATCTTCAAGATGGTTTTAGAACGCCCAGTCTTCTTACTATGAATGAAGAAACCCTCATCAGTTGTCTGGTCCAGATGCCAACCATCAGAAAACAAGGTGTCTCTGGCAATATCCCAAGTCCTCTCTGCTTCATCTTGGAGAGCTTGCTTCTGCCAGATACAGAATACAAGCAGGTCTAATGATAATGGCAATTTCGTTAAAAGCTACCCTGAATATAATACTACTGAAGAATATGAATTTTATCATATCAATTAGTTTTAAAAGAGGTGAAGTATACAAAGATTTTGAGAATACACCATTATCTTGGAGAAATATCTATCATACTTGTAGTAAAACAAATGATTAAATTTGGCAAATATTTCATGATCAATATGTTTCAGGATTATCAAGAAAATAGCCTAAAATGCCCAAAAGAATAAACTGGACAATTAATTCTGTCTGAAAAAAAATTGCATTCATGCAGTCAACAGTACAGTCAACTCTCGATATACCACATTGTTTGTCTTCACTGATTTTGGCACTATATCGAAAAGCACTGCTTCAAAATGGAACATTTCCAAAATAACTCAAACAAAAAACAGAATTAGCAAAAAACATCCACTTTAATTCATCCATGCTGCCAATAGAGAACAAAAACTACACAGCTTTGAAAAATGATTCGCAATGTTTTGCTGACTTTTGGCCACATAACTTGTAACAACACTTTCACTTTTTCTCTCACACTTATAACTGTCCTTTTCCCCATTACTGGATAATGAACACACATGAACAATTGTTGGGAGGAACTTTGAACTGAAAGAGGCATTTCCATTCTCCAAAAGAAAGAAAAAGAGAGGCAGGATTAGGTCAGATTAAGAGACTCCTACGGCCCCCTCTAATTCCTTGGCATCCATGCCAAAGCTAAGTCATCCCTCACAATCTCGTTATCAAACGATCAAAAGGAAATGCTGACAGTATGCCATTTTTTCCCACCATGGTTGAGCATGGTATAATCATTGTAGCTGGTACGGCATGTTGCTTGGCACTTCATTGAGTGCAACTTACGTTGAATAAGGCATGTTTGTGCAAGGCAAGGTATTGGCAGATGGTGGCTTATGTGAGTGGTGCTATAACGGGGGAGTGCCAATGGTAAGCCTATGGGGAAAATTCGTTCTCAGGAAACAGTCGGCGCCAAGCGAGAATGGCAGTATATCAGGTGGCACTATATCATGGGTTGACTGTAACAGTGTCTTCCAATGTACTTCTTCCTTCATCTTGTTATCTGCACGCTTCTTTAACAAGAATTATCACATGAACCTTAGTGACACAAACTTGGCTGTGCCAATGGTGCTGCACTGGCATGAGGAGTAGTCTTAACCAGGAGTGATTAATCACCAACTATTTAATAACCCATGAATCAAGCAACAAAAGCTTAATCTTTGTGATTATGAGTTCAAAGAAAAGTTATTAGGGATTGAGCAGCTACCAGTCACTAATGAAGCCTATATGGCAGCCTGCAATGCATATACAAGCCCCAATGTTATACAGCAATGGTGACTGCCCATTGACCAGCTCCTTAAGTGGTTTCTGCTCCATGCACACTGCTGGTACTATGATTATCACAAGGCTGCTAAGCAGCCAACAGGCAAGCTCTACTTCCTCCCACCACTCACTCCACCTGACAGCAATATATAGTGGTATCTTATTGCCACACATTTGATCAAAGAGAAATGACTAATGAATGCCAAAGTTAATGGGGTATAGTTTACTCAAGGTACAACTTTAATCCCAACACTCAAGATTTACAAGGTCATACCCTGGGAACAACAAGCATTGTAACTTTCTTTGAAAAGTGGACCAATAAACAGTGCATTACATCAACTACCCATCCCCTTTGGTATCTTGCACAATCATGACAACTTCCCCCTCCCCCTCTCCCTTTCCTACCTATTTACCAGTGGAAAAGTGAAGAATGTTGCATGAAGAAGTAATATGATCATGTTTGCCAGGAACGGGAAGACAATATGTCACAACTACCAGAATGGGAATGGTTGTGAAGACCCAACCACTTCCAGTTGAAGTCTTACTCCACTGTTCCCATCCTGACCGTGCTAACTCTCCCAAATCTTGCTCCCGCATGCCTACCCAGTGCATCCCATGCTCACTGCAGTCTCAACCCTTAATTCCTCCTTGACTGCCCAGGTAATGCATGATGAATGCATGTCCCTGAATGTTGCACAGAGTCCTATTTTTGTGCACTTTGAAGTTATAACAGCAATCAGAATTCTGGACTAGAATTCTCTCTAGCCATAGAGCATTGCTGCATCTATGTTCCCATACATCAGTTGCCAAAGCACACCTCAGTGACTATTCATGAAGGTTGACAGCCAATGAATAGAAATGTTTACAGACATGGGAGGGTTACCATGCAGTGGATGGTGCTCAAAAGTTTCAATTGTTCTATATGCCTCTGATCATAACAGAGTTGGGGTCACAATTCTGCTGCTCCTAGGGAGTAAGAATCACACCTTGTGAATCTCACTCCCTCTAATACAACAGAATCTTAGACAAACATTGGATAGGTAGTACATCTCTGTTCCGCTTACAGATAACCAAACGCATCCGGTTAACTGAGCACGAGTAGTCACCTGTAATCCCAATTGATTGGGATTCCTATTATATATAATAAACACCACTCACCCACCCCTAACCTAGCCTGACCTGACTTGACTAAAGGAGAAACACAATATCCCTAGGGGGTACAGTCACCTGGGCAACCCTATGCACTGCGTACAGTTAACTGTGTCCAATGGGCAACTGTAAGCAGAATATGTCTAGGCCTAATTCATCCAGGAAGAGGTTGACAGAATTCTTACCCTCAATGAGTGGGTTAGGCAATTTCAATATCACACCAAAATACAATCTGGAAAAACGTGTAATACCAGACAAGGCAACAGCAGGCTGAGGGGTAAGTGATCACAGTTCAGAAAGAGATTTATTCAAGGATTCTAATTTTACTTTGAGGGAGTGAATCTTACTTTAGGGAGAACAGATGACACGGTCAAGGAGAAACAGGGTAAATGAGCCGCGGGAGGTTTACCATAAGGTGAAAGAACAAAGGAATGCGACCTGTCACCATATCGCCATACGGTTCTAGTTACATCGCCTTCTAACGTTAGATAACGGGAAGGAGGGACCGAAATGCTTGTGCCTTCACCTCTGGGGGCAAGTCTGGTGGGAAAGGAATAAGACTAGCGGTTTTCCTTAATTTTCATGAGTTGTTACATCATAAACAAATGGGATTTGTATATCAACCATGTGCAACGGCGGATCTATCGGCTCTGAAGCCCAGCCGGTTCAACACGAAGCGTGATATTAACGTCAGAAGCTAAGACTTACAGTCCAGGATAGGCGCTGCTTAGGCCTAGGTATAAAATACACCTACCTTCTCCAAGGGGAGATCTTCGAGTGTGGAGCTTGACATGAAGGTGGAAGCTGCGACGACTGCACAACAGGCCTACATCAAAGTTTTCTACGTAGGCCTCACCTCCCGAAGCCATAGCCAGAGCAGGAATGGGATCCGAGTAAAATGCAGAATGAGGAAAAGAAGTCCCCGAAAGGGGCATAGCTATGACCCGCAGAGTTTCAAGTTTGTTGAGCTGCATAGAAAATGGCACCATACAATTGAAAACAGTGGTTTTCTGCGAAATTTTTTATTTTGCATATTTCGACCTATCACATATCCTTAACCCTTTCAGACGTGGGGTCCACTCCAATGGACATTGCATTTACATTGTGTCTATGGCAATTTCTTGGGATTCTCGTGACTTTGCGCTCCACATTACGCTACAATGGGCCAAGGCCGTATTAAGGCCCCCCCCCCCCCCTAAATATGTTCCTTAAATTCTTGCCATACCGCTAATCGTCGGTGAAAACGGTGCAGTACTTAGTCTTTTCTATCTTTAATAGCAACTTACAGGAAAATCCAGATGTCAGAAAGACTTTCAATGACAAGTATAAAAAAAATAGCCACTGCGGGTAGCATATATACAAACCCTCCTCGATTTCGGCACTCACGTGCATGGCGGGTGAAGAAGCGTGAGAGCGGGAGCGTGAAAGCGCGTGAACCCTCCGCGATTTTGGCACCAGCCTCCCCTGCATGCAAGAGGCGAGTGCAGGGAACCAGAGATGTGATTGCGCATGCCTCATCCCTCACACGGACAAGGAAAGATACCTAAACCAGCAGTGTGAGGAGATTGAAGTAAACAATCAAAAAGGAAAGACGAGGAATCTCTTCAACAAAATCAGAGAAATCAAAGGAAATTTTGCTGCAAAAACGGGTACAGTTAAGGATAAAGAAGGTAGAGACCTGAATGATGAAGAAGGAATAAAGAAGCGATGGAAGGAATATACAGAAGAACTTTACAAAAGAGACCCTAAAATCAATGATACCTTTGATGGAATAGTCTCAGAGCTAGAACCAGATATTTTGGAAAGTGAAGTACGATGGGCCCTAGATAGCATTGCCAAAAGTAAAGCAGCAGGAGTTGATGGAATACCAGCAGAGCTACTCAAGATCCTGCAGGATGAAGCAGTTAAAGTGTTGTCTGCAGTGTGTCAGCAGATATGGAAGACACAGCAATGGCCGACAGATTGGAAAAGATCAGTTTATATTCCAATACCAAAGAAGGGTAATGCTAAAGAATGCTCAAATTACCGAACGATTGCACTCGTTTCACATGCCAGCAAGATAATGCTGAAGATCATTCAGGCAAGACTCCAGCAATTCATGGAACGGGAATTGCTAGATGTTCAAGCGGGATTCAGAAGAGGTAGAGGAACAAGAGATGAAATTGCTAACATTCGCTGGGTAATGGAAAAAGCAAGGGAATTTCAAAAAGATATTTACTTGTGCTTTATTGACTATACCAAGGCTTTTGATTGTGTTGATCGCAACAAACTTTGGATAACTCTAAACGACATGGGCGTCCCAAGCCATCTGCCTGCTAAAGAACCTGTACGGTGACCAAGAGGCAACGGTCAGAACTGATTTTGGAGAAACCGAATGATTCAAAATAGGAAAAGGAGTACGCCAGGGCTGCATACTATCGCCTTATTTATTCAACTTGTATGCAGTAAGAACCTGTACGGTGACCAAGAGGCAACGGTCAGAACTGATTTTGGAGAAACCGAATGGTTCAAAATAGGAAAAGGAGTACGCCAGGGCTGCATACTATCGCCTTATTTATTCAACTTGTATGCAGAGCAAGTCATGCGCAATGCTGGACTGGACGAAACAGAAGCTGGCATCAAAATCGGCGGGATGAACATCAACAACCTTAGATATGCCGATGACACCACCTTGATGGCTGATAATGAGTCTTGTATGCAGAGCAAGTCATGCGCAATGCTGGACTGGACGAAACAGAAGCTGGCATCAAAATCGGCGGGATGAACATCAACAACCTTAGATATGCCGATGACACCACCTTGATGGCTGATAACGAGGAAGATTTGAAGGAGCTTCTGATGAGGGTTAAAAAAGAAAGTGCAAAAGCTGGCTTGTTGCTCAACGTCAAAAAGACCAAGATAATGTCAACTGGCTGTATGACTCAAGTGAAGATAGATGAGGAAGAAGTTGAAGTTGTTAAAGATTTCGTATTCTTGGGGTCAATCGTCCACATGGATGGTGATTGCAGCCGTGAAATAAGGAGACGTCTGCTCCTTGGAAGAAAAGCCATGACGAATCTGGATAAAGTGACCAGTTTGAAGTTGTTAAAGATTTCGTATTCTTGGGGTCAATCGTCCACATGGATGGTGATTGCAGCCGTGAAATAAGGAGACGTTTGCTCCTTGGAAGAAAAGCCATGACGAATCTGGATAAAGTGACCAGATGCAGAGACATCACACTGTCGACAAAAGTACGAATTGTCAGAGCCATGGTCTTTCCAGTTACGACATATAGCAGTGAAAGCTGGATAATCAGAAAAGCTGAAAGAAAAAAGATTATAAAGTGACCAGATGCAGAGACATCGCACTGTCGACAAAAGTACGAATTGTCAGAGCCATGGTCTTTCCAGTTACGACATATGGCAGTGAAAGCTGGATAATCAGAAAAGCTGAAAGAAAAAAGATTGATGCTTTTGAATTGTGGTGCTGGAGAAGATTGCTGAACGTACCATGGACTGCAAGGAGGACAAACAAATCAATATTGGACGAAGTAAAGCCGAATTGCTCTCTGGAGGCATCAATAACAAAATCGAGGCTGAAATATTTTGGCCATATAATGAGAAGACAAGACTCATTAGAAAAGGCATTGATGCTTGGTAAAATGGAAGGAAAAAGGAGAGGACGACAGAGAACACGATGGATGGACACTATCATGTAAGACACACAACTGGGGATGCAAGAACTGAAGGAGTTGGCCATGGATAGAAAATGCTGGCGAGACCTTGTCCATTGGGTCACCAAGAGTTGAACACGACTAAATGGATAAAACACACGTGTTACAGGGTCACTTCCAAGACTTTTTGAATGCCCCACGTATGTATGTTTACATCAGAAAGACTGGAGGGGTACTAGAATATTTCATTTAAAGATAATTAAAAACTTGTAAAAACTGATCAACTGATCCACTAATGGTTAGTTTCAGTCAATAACTTTAACTAGTAGGTTTGCCTCCACCCTGATTTGCATTAGTGCAATAGAACAACCACAACCATAAGCCCATTGATAAATACTTTAGCCAATATGTCATCAGAATATGATTCAACAATCATTAAATACAGTATTGTGTTCAAGTTGGTACTGACTGAAGTGGAACAAAATAGAAAGGAGTCACAAATAAATCCATCCCTCTCAAAAATTACAGGAGAGCAGCAAAAATATGCAGGCACACATTATACACAATATTGAAGCAGGCCTAATCTCCTAAATGAAAACCATATTGTCCTTTACACTGGGGTGGAAAGTCGAGTTCTGTTCCCATCTTATGGAAGCAAACGGTACCACAATATTCCCTTCACCATGGAATTTGAATTTATTCAAGCTGCACCAAAAAAAATCTGGCAATGCATACGATTGTCTGAAAACAATCTCGATTGATCATGCACGACAACCGCTCCCACAAAACGATAGCGAACCATAGAGTTCAATTGCTGGTTATGAAGTGGTAACCGAATGCTGAATTACCGAAACCTGAGTACCGAATTCGGTAACCGATCCTGCTCTCGCGTAATAGGCCTACCACTTATCCTTGGCTCCTTGCCTCAGATCAGACTCCGATAATAGGAAGTGCGAAGACAAGCAGGCCTAAGCCTAGCGTAACTTATAAGTAATCGTAATGTCTGATCCCAATGGTCCAGAGACGAATAGGACCTACTGAAGGAATCCCGTCACAGGAGGCGACTGGCGGATCGACTGCTGAGCCCAACGGACTCGAACTGAGCCGTGTTGCTGACTGGCAGCTGGGAGGCCTGTTGGAGCCGAATGAAGCCGCTCGTCTTGGCGGGGCTGGAATGACAGCAGTGTTGCCACATGGCGACGTTTTTCTCAGCCCAGTGACTTTTGTCTTACGGCATTCAATTTTCTTAAATGTAGGTCATTGCTTTCGTTGAAAGAAACAAGCAAAGAGGTGACGTCACACCAGCATCTTCATATCCGTCATAAGTCGGCATCCTCCTGTCCGTCGGCTTCCATTCATTTGACAACTTTTCTTTGTAGCGACAATGTCATTTTCGCAGTCACGTCCCAGAAAAGCAAGCAAAATCATGGCATCAAATTTTTACTACTCCTTCACAATTGTGATTTTGCCAAAATGCAAAAGAAAAACGCGATTAATTAGCAAAATATTAGAAAAGACCCTCACATTTCCAATAAAACTACTATGAAAAGGAAGTCTCTCTTTCACCATTAAATGACGGTACTTATCCCTCAGAGCAGGGCCGGATTAAGGGGGGGGGGGGCAAAGGGGGCAGTTGCCCCGGGCCCCACTCTTCCAGGGGGCCCCCGAAGGAAATTTAAAACGTTAAGTGCAAAAAAAAGTATCTTAAAAGGCCAGGACAACCAGACGATAACGTTCTCGATGGTTCGCGCGAAGTCGGGAAGAGTGTCAAGTGTAGGATGCCAGATGAGGCATTTCACGCGTACGCCTAGCACCCCCTTTTACGCGACCGCAAGCAGCCACTCTCCTATTGACTACTATGGGTCCGTCATCCGCCATGGCTGGAATGGAAATGAAAGTTTTAGTCGTAGACCGGTCCCCGACCCAGACAGAAAGCAGCACGGAATAATAAAAAAAAGGTGACAGACCGATCGCAATATTGCCATTTCCACATGGTGGGTGACATGCACCGATTAATTCATTTAATCTAATTTGATCCCACAATGGTCATCAGAGAATCAGTTTAACTTATTCCCATAGATGCCCATTACGAAAACGAATCTGGTGCATGTCACTCAGTATCCATGGGGACTTGGCAGATAAATACTCCACAACAATTCGACATACACAGTAATCTCAACAAAGGAAATTTCATAATTTCATCATCACTCCTCGATTCACGGACATCTGTGGCCACTCGGTTCACTGCCACGATGAAAGAAGAATCGACAAAGAAGAATCTCCAGCCGAAGAGTCGTTATATTCTCTCCCTCTGAAAGTCACAACTATTGGGAAAGGTTAAGTTACATTGTGAGCACCACAACAGGAGAAGCGGTCAGTGACCCGGAAAAATCCTGTAAATAGCATATCCAGAGAATGCGTGATACATAGTATGTTGCATTGTAATACAGAACTAACAGAAAATTGGAATTTCCCTCGAAATACCCACGTTAGGCATCAACATAGGTATGAATGACATGAATACCCAAGTAACACAAGATATTCCAGCAACGTTTAGGAAATGTTGATGAACAATGTTGTATCTATGTGTAAATGTCCAAAACGTCAACGTTGCTCAAATGTTGAGAAGGAACATTGCATTTACATTGCAAATCGCTACTTATTCATTACATATACGTTGAAGTAAAGCCGAATTGCTCTCTGGAGGCATCAATAACAAAATCGAGGCTGAAATATTTTG